AATGTGCAGAAAATAGGTTTAAATGTTAAACTAATTTCTTCCAGTCAGAGAATTTTTGCTTGATGCGTAAAGTTAAAAGATTAAAACTAATAAAACAAGTTTTAAAAAGAGACTTTTCCATTTGATTACATTTTGTATGATGATTATGCAGAAGAAGTAGAATTGGGCTGAAAGAGCTATCGCTTTATCACCTGTTCAGGTTGTAAATTGTATTTTTAAAAAGTAACTAATTACTTTGAAAATAAGTAATCAGTAAAGTAAGGGGATTACATTTTGGGGGAAGTAATCAGTAATTATTTACTGATTACTTTTTTCAAGTAACGTGACCATTACTGCTCGTCTGTGTGGTGACGCCCGGGTTTATCAACAGGACAATGCTGCAGGACTTCTTCCATCACACTTTTGGACCATCCCTCGTGTTCCCCTGATCCAAATCCAATGATTTTTTTGCCATTTTCCAAGTGATTTTAAACGGGACTGTACATTCACACACCACAAACTGGTGCAACGTGGAGGTGCAGTGGCACATCGCACTGTCACCTCACAGCAAGGTTTTTTCTGTACCTGCTGGTAAGCGTGGCTCCTGTGCATGTAACTGATGCTGTTGTTTGTGATATCCATAAACCATGCGGTACTCAGCACAGCACGCGGGTATGGACCCCATTCTTCCAGTAACTGAATTATTAGCCAAGAAATGCAGATCTAATTAAGACAGAATGGATGTTATTGTAGTTTTTGTTGTTAATCTAATTCATTGTTATCTTCCTGCTCCAAAGTCCTGATGCTCAGTCATCCAGCTAAGTAAATCCCAAAAGGTTGAACACTACATCCAGATGAACAGAATCGACCTTTTGGGGTACCAGAACAAAAACACTTTGCTCTTACTCTGAGTTTCTTATTACAATCTGCAGATGTGCAGATTATCTAGCTGACAGTCTAAGAAACATGAACATTATGGATCTCTGATCTCTGCAGACTCTGTCAGGCTGCTGAACGGTTCCAGTCTGTGTTCAGGCGGACTGCAGGTGAAGTCTAGCCAGAGATGGTCCTCAGTGTGTGAAGATGACTTTGACCTGCAGGATGCAGAGGTGGTCTGCAGGGAGCTTGGCTGTGGGCCTCCTTCGCTCCTCCAGGGGGCGCTCTATGGAGAAGCGGAGGCTCCAGTGTGGAGCAGAGAGTTCCAGTGTGGAGGCCATGAGTCTGCTCTCCTGGACTGTAGAAGCTCAGGCTCAGCTAGAAGCAGCTGCTCACCTGGCAAAGCTGCTGGACTCACCTGCTCAGGTAGAAGAGGAGCTGCAGCTTTGGCTCAAACTCACTTTGTTCTCTCACTGATGACTCTCTGCTTTCTGTCAGAGCCTGTCAGGTTGGTGGGAGGAGCCAGTCGCTGTGCAGGTACACTGGAGGTGAAACACCTGGGAGAATGGAGACCAGTGGATGACAATGGTTGGACCATGAAACCAGCAGCTGTTGTCTGTGAACATCTGGACTGTGGCTCTGCTGTTTCTGTTGGGAAAAAAAAGTCCACATACAGATTTGTGTTGAAGATCAATCCTGATTGTTTCAAGCTGAGATCTTCCCTAAGGGAATGTGTAGAACCATCTTACTCTTCCTCTTTGCTCAGTGTCACCTGTTCAGGTAAGCCCATCAATTACACAGTTTGTGAAAAACAACGGGGGGAAATAGTTGAAGGTGTGACACGAAGGAAGTGATTGTTAATGGAAGACATAGATTTAGTTCATTTTAAAGAGTTATGAAGGGAACATTTAAGCACCGAGACCAAGAAAGTTTATGTAACCAGCTGCAAACTCTTACGAAGTTGTACATTTGAACACTAGAGTCTATGGAGGAAGCAAAAGAACTGCCGAACAATACTCAGGTTGAAATTTGCTGGTATGTGACCTACTTAACCTAGCTAACAGTACCTGACGTTAGTACTTACAAATAAACAAACCTTTAATGATCCCATTAACTCGTTTTACTGCTGCTGCTCTTTCTGTCACACTCGTCTGCATGCAGTTAACCAAGCAAAAGCTTATAGCAGCGTAGACCAGACAGCTACAAATAAATCACTTCAACAAGGAGAAATGTTCTCATGAGAACAAAGTACATGAAAATGTTTTAAAAGATCTGAAAACTCCTAATCATTACTTATGAGTTACCCCTGAGAATATTTAAGGGGCAGTGTTTCATTTCTCTTCACAGTCACGATCTGTGACAAAGAAAGGTTTAACTTTTTGCAAACTTCAGTCTTTCCATAAACTGCTGATGTTCAACAAACATCTGGAGGAAGCTGTGTGACTGGGTTTGTGGAGGTCCTGAAGGTGGATCCAGTATCTCAGTTTACAGTCCGTCGTCGCTCAGCTCGCTGCTGCTCCTGTTCAGAGGCTGTTTTGTTTGCCATAAGGCCTCTGATGATAACCTCACCTGTCATGGTCTCTGTTCATTTACAGACCTGCTGGCTCAGCCAAGCATTATTGTCCCCGCCTCCATCGACGGGGTCTCCGAGGCACAGCAGCAGGAGCTTCGGGTGTCCAGGGGCTCTAGCTTGACCATCAGCTGCTCCATCCAGCCACAGTTCCCAGGAGGCTCCTTCCAGCTCACCTTCACTTCCTCCAACACAGCATACAACTACACCCAGCCAGCTGTCAATCACTCTGCCCACTTCCTGTTTCCTGTCACAGAGCCCGCCCACCAAGGAAACTACAGCTGCTTTTATCGTGTTTATGTTTTTTCTCACAACTTCTCCTCTGAGAGCTGCCAGCTGTCTGTGACTGTCTCAGGTGAGCTGAAGCAGAGAGATTTTCTGTAAAATCGAACTTTGAAAGGTTTGCAGCCAGAAACAGTGACGAGCAGAGTATGAATGGTTACCACAGTAACGCCGGTTCTCTGAAAACTATTTCATTTACACAGCGACAAATCAAAACATCAGTCCTCCCAGGCACATCCTGTTAACATCTGGACTGCTGTTTAAGCCAGAATGTTGTTTCTGGGTGGTTTTCCTGCGTGTGCCACCTGCTTCGTCACACAACACTCCAGCGGGATTCAGCTGAACTGGGCGTTGACTCCTTCCTCTTCTAATTCTTCTTTCTGAGTCACTTATTGGTGAATGTGTTCATGTGTTGAGGATCATTATCCCATCGACTCATCTAGTCCTTGTTCAGTTTTAAGACAGATGTGTCATCATTATGTTGCAGTTCAGAGTGTAATCAGTAGCTGAAGTCTCTCCATCTCTGATGCTGTGAAGCAACAACACACCAGCATAGTTCTGCCTGGTTGATGGTTTGTTTTTTAACATCTGCCATTGGTTTGTTCTGAATGTCTCTACAGTTACTGTAGCCAAACATTTCATCTTTGATTTGTCTATCTAAAGCAAATTATTTCTCTTTGATTGGATGTTGACCAACTGTAGTTTGTAGTTTTTCTTGGGCCATAAAGGATTTTCCTGGTTTTCTGCTGTGCCGGTTAAATGTGTACAAGCTCAATATGTTTGCATCACTTTGACACTAACAGCTGCAGAGTTACTGGCAGATCCAGGAATGAGGTGTGGGGGGTTTTGGAGACAGCTTTTTGACTCAAAAAGGATTAACCAGAAACAAGCAGCTGCTTGAATTCCACAAAATACATCGATTGATCACTCCTGGTACCTTTAAAATGTAATACCAGACATACCCCGAACCCCAGAGAATGTTGTGTAGATAATGATGAGACAACTTCAACACCAATGACAACAGCAGGTCCTCAGTGTCACAGGCATCACTCCCTAAATACCAATGACCTGATCTGAAACACCTGATGTTACATGGATGGTTGGAAGAGACAATAAATGAAGGGATATATGTATTTTATCCACATGACTAATCAGCTTTTTATGTCTTTAATTGATGAAAAACATTTTCTGACTTTTAAGTATCACTAAGCTCAGTTTAACTTGTGCAGGCTCCAGTCACAGATTATTCTCAGAGGGGTTTAAAGGGGTTTGTCCTCAGAGCAGAGGTTCAGGTCCAGATAAACGATGTTCACAGATTTCTCTGCAGTTTGTGTTTAATGACAGCTGTTTGACTCGTGATGACTGTGAATGTGTTCGATCCCGCAGGTCATCCAGATCCCACAGGCTTCATCATCAGAGCCCTCGTCCTGCCACTGATCCTGCTGTTGGAGAACGTTGTCCTGTATTTCTACTGTAAGGTACTGAACACATGTTTGCATCAGAGAACGAAGCCCTGAGAGAGGAACGATGCAGTCAGTCTGATCTATGTGTGCTTATGTCCCTCCAGGCCAGCAGGGGGCAGAGGCTGGGCAGACCGGAGAACAACAAGCTGGTTAACTTTGGTGTTGGTGCAGCTGAAGAAGGGCCGGCTAAAGAGGAAGGAGCTCATCTCATATCCAGATGAAGTTCTCAGCTCATCCATCACCTCAGTCACAGATTTTACTTTCTTTCTACCAAAGATTCTGTTAATCAGTCAGGCTGGAATGATTCTGTTGTTTTCTTACTGCCAGCATGAAAAGTCCAAAACCATCAAAGTGTTTCAGGTTTTTAATCACATTTTTACACAGAAACTGGCCCCTAATGTACCTGCTGTTCAACACTGACTGCAGGGAAGTGTAACCAGAGATGGTCCTCAGTGCGTGAAGCTTGACCTGCAGGATGCAGAGGTGGTCTGTAGGGAGCTTGGCTGTGGGCCTCCTTCGCTCCTCCAGGGGGCGCTCTATGGAGAAGCGGAGGCTCCAGTGTGGAGCAGAGTCTGCTCTCCTGGCAGAACTTTATATAAATAAAGGATATTTGTTCTGCCTTTTATATGTTACGCTGGATAATACAGTTTAGTAATCTGCCCTAGAGCCCCCTCTAGTGGCTGATTTGTAATATTATTTTGATTACTTTGGAAAAAGAAAAATAGAGGAAGTGGAAAATCCAAGATGGCTGAACGTAATGCTGAAGCATTATCGTTCCAAGCTGAAAATGTTGCTTCGGACGAGATTTGTCCGTAAGTATGAGTGATGATTAAATAATAATTGTATCTTGTTGTGTTTAAAACTTTGTTTAATTGAGTATGAACGTTTTATCTTGTTAGCTTGCAGTAAGCTTGTAACAAGCTAGTTTGCAATGTTAGTTAGCTAATACAATATTTTGTATGTTTTCAGTTTTACAATGGTCAAAGAGAAGGTCAGAGGCCATCATTCAATAAATCAGCACAAAAAAGGAAAATGAGTCTGATTACTGGAGCATTGTTAGCTCGCTGGTGAAAACCAGGAACCTGAGGGTGAGGACAGCACACCATTAACTTTCAATAGTGCCTTTTCTCATTGATTTTCTAGTTGATTGATTTGATCCTCGTCAGCAGCCGTGTTACAGAGAAGGTAAAAGAAACAAGCTTACATTCAAACACTCACATGCTGGGTGGAGCCAAAGCGATCATGCACCCCCACCCGTGCTCCACCTTTCCTTGTAATAACAGAGCAGGACTGTGTGGCTGAGTGTGTTCAGTGTTTATTATATTTCTGCAGCCTGATAGAAAACATTTCTCATTCTTTTCTCTACATTCTCGGGCAATAAAATAAAAGCAGATAAAACTTCAGGTGTTTTTTCCCCCACAGCAGCCACCTGAAACGCAGCCTTGTGATTGGACGAGCACTGACGCCCCCTCAGGACAGACACAGAGTTTAAAATGAGCAGTTTCTTCTACTTCAGCTCTATTGTTGTTTACTGTACACACAGATTTTTACACAGCTCTGACTCCTGACACACACACACTTGTCTGTCTGTTGTTTCATTGCACCTACACAAGGACCCTTGTAGATGCGATGCACCCCCCCCCCCAACTCATAACCTAACCCTGCTTCTAAAGGGTCTCAGAAAATCTGTCCCAAAGTGGAGAACCAACGTTTTTAATCGTCCTCACAACAATAGACATACAAGAACACGCAAACGCACCCAGACACATCTTTCGCCGGAGGCAGCTTCTTCTTCTGCAGAACAAAAGACGTCACACACGGGAGCTGCGTAGGATTGGACGTTCATGTCATAGGGGGAGGCGAAGCCGGCACACACTCCAAAACACGCACACCCACACATGCACAAACACTGACAATACACAGTGTATGGTTATTATCACAACACTGACTTTAACGTGAATATTAAGCTTGTGGTTCAGGTGAGCGGGCCGAGAGCGCCACCTGTCGTCAGAGTCATGTGCCTGCACTGGGCGGGAGCTAAAGTTCAGCCATGTTTTAAGGAATCGTTGGTAATGAAGTCTGAGGTACCAAGTCGTCAGTTCTTTAACGAATGAAGGTTTAACGTGTGTTGGATCTTTAACTTCGACAGTCTGTCTCTCATATTTATGTTTACTCTGAGTATTTCTAAAGGTAATCCCACTCCTGGTCCAGCTGTTTACTGCCGAGGTCTGATGATGAACCCATTTATACACCAAAAGTCTCATTTTGAACTTCACGCCACCCTCACATCACATCAGACCTCGAGCTCAGTGAGCAGCCGATTATTTCAAAAAATGAAAGAGTGGGACAGATGCAGAGCTCCAAGGACAGACTCCTGCTCACTGACTCGTTCACAGATCAGGCAAATGGTTTGTGACAAGAGAAGCCATGACATCAGCAAGCTTACAGCCAATCACATTCCCCGCGCACCGAATGGCTTAAAACTATAGAAAATCATTTAAATACAGAATAATAAAAAAATCCAAAGGCTACAAACATGGCTGCATGTGGCTTGATATTTATACTAGTATATTAGGAGTATGTGGAGCTTCTTGTTAGTTTCATTATAAAGTGTTCCAGTTTTGTGTTTTCACCAGTTGCACCAACTGTATCTGAAATGCAGTCCTGTGAGCTTTACTCCATCATACTTTTATATATTTATGATTCTTTGTATAACTAGTGTTTGAAACAGCAAACTTGAGTTATTATAAAACATTAGAAACAAATACAACTGGGAAATTTGATTGACTTCCACTACTTCCTGTGCCACTAAGCTCTTAGTATCCACCATTTCACCAGCGGACCACGCACTCCACACCTCCAGTTTCACCCACCAGTGTATATTTCCCACTTCTTCTGTTTTAAGTTGTTTTGTTGGCAAATGGGTGAAAACTGGTGACGTGGAGCTGCATGTGAACCAGACCGCTGTGGTAGATGTTCAGAGGTTCACCGTTTACCTGATAAAGATGAGCTACCAAAACACTGCAAATAAATCATCTATTTTTGTGAGATAGACCATAGACAGGATTGTGTTTGCATTTTATTTTGAAATTTTAATTCCAAACTCAGTTTTAGGATCAGGTTTTGGTTTTAAGCTGTTTCCTCTCTACTCACTGTTTGATTCACTGACACTGGTCTTTACCTGGAAGTGAGGCTGTGTCTCCTGGTAACAGTGTGTTACTTAGTGGTTGCAGAGCGCTAACGTAGTGAGTCGGTTAAACTGTGCAAACTGGAAGGTGAGCTATGCTCTGTGTTACCTAAAGATAACGCTGGCTTTAAGGCAATCCTCGACAGACTCATTAAAGGGTTGTAATAGATTACAAAATGATGGAAAACCTTTTAAAATATGTCACGTCTGTCTTAATTTAGCGTGAAACAGTGGTTACAGCGTGGATTCAACTTCGACATTTCTGACAGATTATATACACGAGAAACGGACCGAGGAGATAAATCTGAGAAAAAGTGTTTTAAATGCTTAAAACCTCATAAATAACCCACGAAACCCTCGTTCCTCTCCTTAATCCTAATCTACACCCCTAAAACTGAAAGCCTCCCAGCCAATCAGGCGACAGCTTCCTCAATAACTGAGTGGCCAATCACACACACACACACAGCCATGACTGATTATGTAACAGTTCAACTTTGCATGAGGTCATCACAGTGATGTCGTAGGGGGTGGAATTATAGAGCTCTTTCACACAACGGACACAACGCGCACACACAAACCAAAGCCCATTAATAACACTATGAATCAATAACGTGATAAAAGCAGGAATCATCGCCACCGCCCACGTGGCTTCTTCTTCCTCGTCAGTCCTTCGTGTCTGTGTGACGTCCACCGAGTCCGTTTAGTTTCCAGACAGGAAGTAAGTCTGATCGTCACCAAGTTACAGATTAACTGAAGCTGAAGATTACACCTGCTCCCCCCACCCCATGAAAGAACCTGAACTCTAATTAAGACACTAACGAGCCCGTCAACCCGTCAGCTGACTGACTCCCCCCCCCCCGTTCCTGCACCACTCCGAGCTGGTCCTTTCAGGTCTGACTACCAGACTTCGCAGCGCTTCCCCGTATTCATGGGTGTCCCTTCGGGGCAGTTAAAGTGGCGGCTGAAGTCCGGAGAGTTGGCGAGCGTGCCGATGACTCTGTATCGGGGAGGACTGTGGGGGTCGGTCACGAGGCCCTCGTGAGCGCTCTCTGGTGTCCGAACTGAGCACCACACCTAAAAGAACAGAACAGAAATCTGAGAAGGGACAAATCTCGATGCAGCATTTTCTTTCATTTTTTAATCAAATGTCTCACAATCATCTACTTCCTTTGAGCAACAGGAAGTAGATGACTATTATAAGAGGTTCGAGGACAGATCCCTGGGGGACACCAGTGGTAACAGGAAACGGATGGCGTTTGACATTTTCTGAGTTGAATGAACTAATCCCATTTAGGTTTGGCGGTCTAGATCTGTAACTGAAAAAAGCAAATAGCTGAGCTTCGTTGTTTGTCTGCAGCGTCTCACCTGGGCAAATCCAACGAAGAAAAGCTGGTCATTGGTCAGGTTGACAGCAGGAAGTCTTTTCTCATCTCCGTTTCCCTGGATCCATGACCGATAGGCCTTAGGAGGAAAACATCAACACGCGGGTTAGTGGGAGGTGTTGACCTGTTGCTGCAGCGGTTTGTGTTCCTACTCACGTGATACGCGGCCTTTAGCCCCCCATTGTCGGCGATGTTTTCTCCGAGTGTCTGTTTTCCGTTGATGTGTTCTCCGTTGACGGTGTAGCGGCCGTACTGATCCACCATACACTCGGTCCGCTGGCGAAACGCCTCCACGGACGAGTTCTGCCACCACGGCCTCAAGTTTCCTTCTTTATCATACTCACGACCTGATGGACACAAGGACCACATTGCAGCTGTGTTGGTACTTTCCTGAGGTAATCAGGATTACCGTCTGTGGTTCTCCAATTGTTTAATGTTTCACGCTCCTGTTTTTGTGGCAGTTTGGAGCCTGAGCCTGTTTTAAGCTCCCGTTAAACATGATTTAGTTCCAGCTCATTAGGTTTGTTTAGTTCATTTTGAGGTAAATTATGGAATTACTGAGGGTCCGCCCCCACGCCTGCCTGTTTTTAAGACCACGTGGACAAATCTGAATTTACATCACAACACGTCAGCTGCATGTGCGCCCCGGGCAGCCGACTTCAATCAGACTTCAAAGCCGCACAACAGGAACGACAGTCGGCCGCCAGGACTGCAGCCGTCTGTTAATAATCACCTCAATTCAGAATAAACACAGGCCACGCCCACACTGAGTGCAGTGAATCAAATATGACCTGGAGTGAAACTCACCCTGATCATCAAAGGCATGCGTGAGCTCGTGGCCCATCACCACCCCAATGCCACCAAAGTTCAGTGCCCTGAAAACACAAACACACAGCAGTCAAAACGTTACCCACACACCGAGTCCAGAAACAGCTGCGATTGGTCTGGAAGCTCTTTATAAAAAACACGTTTTATAAAGTTTATAATTAGTATTTTTATATATTTACAGTACACACACACACACATGGTGCGGATGACCGGATCAGCACTTAATCAGAACTTTATGCCCAAACTCAGTGATGATTTAAGCCACACCCACAAACTGAAAGTCTAAAGTCCTGCCAGCGCCCCCTACAGTCAGCAGAGCTCATTACAACAACAATAAGAGCAAACAGCATCCTGAAGAGTGTGAAAGCTGAAGAAAAGAACATGTAAAGACAGACAGGCAGACGCATGGACAGGTAGATACTGAGGTAAACAGACTTGGGGTGGTCGTGGGCGTAGAAGGGAGCTTGCAGGATCCCAGCAGGGAAGACGATGCCGTTCTTAGTGGGCATGTAGTAGGCATTAACTGTAGGAGGAGTCATACTCCATCTGGAGGAGGACAGGAAACAAGGAAAGGATTGGGAGGAGGAGGAGAGGAAGAGAGAAAGGAAGGGGAGGGAGAGGAGTTAATCTGCGGTCCAGCCATACCGTATAAATGTTCAGGGATCGTATTCGCAAAGTGTCAGCAAAGACGAGTTACTGACCAGCTGTGATGTGAACCAGAGCTGCTCTTCCAGCACAAACACCAGCTAATCTGTTGGTAGATCTATAAAAACCACTACGACTCTGCACATATGCTCAAAACAGTGTGGGCCTTATGATCAGTCCATCTGATGACAG